ATTCTTTAATCCTAATGGTAAAACCTGCCTTGTTTTTTAAACCTGTAACAGCCTGATAAGGAAGGAGGAATGACCAGGGATATCAGGACCTGGTCAGTTGTGTGCAAGTTCAGCTGGAAGTGCAGAGTCTCAGCCCTCCTGCAGCAGTGCCTGATGACAGCTGCACCCTGAGCTGGGCACTGTGGCAGCTGTCCCAGGGCAGCTCTGCCCTGCAGGGTTCCTCTCCCTCTGTGCTTGCCTGCTGTGGGCCCTGATTTCCTTGCCCTGGTCACAGGCAGGAGCTGCACTTGGCCTCTTTGAACCTCATGAGGTGCACACGGTGCCAGGGCTGGAGCTTGCCAAGGTCCCTTTGGATGGTCCCTGAGGACAGTTCTGTCTGTGTGTCTGTGTGTCTGTGTGTCTGTGGCTGCCATGCCCAGCTGAAGCTGTGCTCCCTGTGCTGAGACTCAGTGCCCCTCTCAGCTCCCTGTGCCCTCCTGCAGCCTCTCTCCTCCTGTTCTCACCCACTGACACAGCCCTGGCCACTTTCCCAACGCTTCCTGTTCCCTCAGCCCCCTGCTGGAAATATTTGCTCAGCAGTGCAGTACCAAACCTTGCTGTCCCACACTGCTGCCTCTGCCCTGGCTTCATGACCAGCATGGGACAATATCTGCCCATTCTCCATCCTGCCATCAGCAGCAGCTTGAAGGAGAAAACCCCTGGAGCTTCCTGCCAGCCTAAATTGTTCCAGGAGTGCATACACCCTGCTTGGAATGTGACAGGCACAGCTACCCCTGCCCCAGGGAGGAGTGCAATCCTACAGAACAGCAAAGGAAAGGTTCAAGGAGGGATATGAATCTGGTGGTTTCAGGAACTTTTTCATCTGCTATTGCAAAGGGGTTTTTTTTGGTTGATTTTTGTGTCGGATTTTTTTTTTTTATAGCAACAGATACTTGTAAGTTTTTCAGTAATCAGAAGATGATATAAAGATGGAGAAGGTCTTTGAGCCTTCATTGGAAGGGATTACATTTGACAAGAGAGCAGGTAAGAGCTGCTGCTGAATTGGGAGGGAAGTCTGATGTCAGGGAAATGGAATTTATAAATATACAACAAGTAATCCCCAAGTTATTGTACACATGACTTGATGATGACATTTTTTCAAGGAAATTTAACAAAGAATGAAGTCAGGCATAAAGTGACAAGGGTTTTTAAATCTTTTTTGGAATTACTGACAGAAAGATTTATTCTGGAAAGGACTTCCCTAGACCAAGGCCTTTTTCAAAGCAGAGACACCACCAAAGGAAAACAGATTACTCAGGGCCATCTTCAAGTGATTTTTGAGAAACTGCAAGGGTGGAGATTCCACAGGGTCTCTGGCCTTTCTGCCAGTGCTGAGCAATCCTTGGCATGAGTTGTTTATTCCTTATTTTATGTCTGAGTTTCCCTGCTGCCATCTAAGACTCTTTCCAGCTGTCCTTTGCTGGGCCCCTCTGATAACAGGGAGCCTTGTCTTCTGCAGGCTGAACAGGACCAGGCCCCTCAGACTCTCCTGGTTCATGGGATGCTCCTGTGCCATCCAGTGGCCTCTATGGGGCTCTCCACCATTTTGTTCACATTGACCTTTTAATAGGGCATCTGAGACAGATGCAGTATTCCAGGTGAGCGCTCTGTTCAGAGGAAATGGAATAAACTCTTCCCTTACCCTGTTCCTCCAGCTCTCATGCTGTGCAGGATGCAAGTGCCCTTCAACTTCTTATCCACCAACAGAAAGGAGAGAGAGAGAGAGAGAGAGAGAGAGAGAGAGAGAGAGAGAGAGAAGCCATTCTGACAGGACTGGATTTAATCTCTCAGGGGTTGCATATGCTCAATACTGTCATGCCTGAGGTAGGGTAAAACCTGTACAGAAGGATTGAGTAGAACAGCTCCTCTTCAAAATGAGCCTAAAAAAGGAGTTTGTGGGATTGAAAAGAACAAAACAGGAAAATCCTTTGCTGACAGACTACAGGGAAGTTGGAGTTAGGTGACCAGGATGCTTTTCTCTTCCTCTGACTATGCTCCAAAGAGTTGAGATGTGGGAGTCAAGTGAGCCAACTCTGTCAGTGTGAGAGGGCATCTGGCTGAAATCATCAGGAAAGCAATGATGGCCGAGCAACCTCAGTGTTGAGAGAGGCATGTGAGATAACATCAGTGAAACACCTGATCACTCCTGCAAATGGACCTCCTGAAAGAATCAGTTTGCAATCTTTTTGTGCTCTCCTTGGCTTGGCAGCAAACTGCTCTCCTCACTGGCAAACCTACAGTGAAAGTTTGCTTAGAAGTCAATCACTGATGAGGCAGGAGAAAGAAAGTCAAGAATGGGGCAGACCTGTTGGATCTCAAGTGCTTCAAACAATTATTCTCTGCAGTTAATGAGTAATAAATCTGCTGTCTGCACACAGAAAGATGGTAACATTTCTGTTTGGGGAAAGCAGAGAAGTTTGCTGTGAGAGGCTGCAGGTGCTCTTTTCTCTGATCCTTTCACAATACTCTGAGTTTCTTTTGCAGAAAGATTTTCTTTCCCTGATAGACAATTTTTTCAGGAATTCTGAAAGAAGGCATGGACCAGGGATGAAAATGTGGGTAGCACCTGTGAGGTGTCCTAGACATGATTCTTACTCGAAATGACTCAGAAATCCAGAAGATATTGTGAGCAGGATGTAAGTGTGTTGTGGGAGGGAGGTGCTTGTGTGTTTTTCCTGAGAAGCTGTGGAGAAAGAGGGAGGGAAAGAGAGAGGTATTTCCAGAACAGACTAGCCAATAAATCTGCTGTGAGCCTGCACATCTGTAATGTGAGATAATCAGCTGATTTAGACCCTTTCTTTAGAGCAAGATTCCTCAGGAGCAATATAGCTCAGGTAATACTCGGATTTGCCAGTCCTGATCCGTAAATCGTGAGCTTGAGGGATGCTGCAAGGCAGGAGGATTGTGGGGTCACAAGACAATTCAGGTTGAAAGTGACCTTAGGGTGCCCTCAGGTCCAGTCTGCTGCTTGATGAGGCCAGAGACCCTGGGGAATGTCCATCCCTGTGGTTGTTCAGAAATCACTTGAAGATTGCCACGAGTAACCTGTTTTCCTTTGGTGGTATCTCTGCTGTGAAAAAGGCCTTGGTCTAGGGAGGTCCTTTCCAGAATAAATCTTTCTGTCATTAATTCCAAGGAAGATTTAAAAACCTTTGTCACTTTCTGGCTAATTGCATTTGTTCAATTTCCTCGAAAAAATGTCATCATCAAGTCATGTGTACAATACCTTGGGGATTACTTGTTGGACATTTATGAACTCTATTTCTCCAACCTCAGACTTCCCTCCCCATTCCTCCACAGGCTCTCACCTTCTCTTTTGTCAAATGTAATTCCCTCTATTGAAGGGTCAAAGTCTTTTAAACCTTTACTTCATCCTCCTATTACTGAAAAACTTACAAGAACCTTTTGCTAGATTTTTGGTACCCTACACTTCTACAGTTGTTTGGATACTGTCTCTGATTAGAAAGAAAAAAACTGTGCAATAGTAAATGCAGAATTTCTGACACATTCCCATCCATATCCCTCCTTGAACCTTTCCTTTGCTGTTCTGTAGGATTGCACTCCTTCCTGGGGCAGGGGTAGCTGTGCCTGTCACATTCCAAGCAGGGTGTATGCACTCCTGGAACAGTTTAGGCTGGCAGGAAGCTCCAGGGGTTTTCTCCTTCAAGCTGCTGCTGATGGCAGGATGGAGAATGGGCAGATATTGTCCCATGCTGGTCATGAAGCCAGGGCAGAGGCAGCAGTGTGGGACAGCAAGGTTTGGTACTGCACTGCTGTGCAAATATTTCCAGCAGGGGGCTGAGGGAACAGGAAGCGTTGGGAAAGTGGCCAGGGCTGTGTCAGTGGGTGAGAACAGGAGAAGAGAGGCTGCAGGAGGGCACAGGGAGCTGAGAGGGGCACTGAGTCTCAGCACAGGGAGCACAGCTTCAGCTGGGCATGGCAGCCACAGACACACAGACACACAGACAGACAGACAGAACTGTCCTCAGGGACCATCCAAAGGGACCTTGGCAAGCTCCAGCACTGGCGCCGTGTGCACCTCATGAGGTTCAAAGAGGCCAAGTGCAGCTCCTGCCTGTGACCAGGGCAAGGGAATCAGGGCCCACAGCAGGCAAGCACAGAGGGAGAGGAACCCTGCAGGGCAGAGCTGCCCTGGGACAGCTGCCACAGTGCCCAGCTCAGGGTGCAGCTGTCATCAGGCACTGCTGCAGGAGGGCTGAGACTCTGCACTTCCAGCTGAACTTGCACACAACTGACCAGGTCCTGATATCCCTGGTCATTCCTCCTTCCTTATCAGGCTGTTACAGGTTTAAAAAACAAGGCAGGTTTTACCATTAGGATTAAAGAATTGAAATTACTGAAACCATTCTGTTTAGGATGTGATTTAGGGCAGTGGAAGACTGCATCATCGCTACAATCACTGCCTTGAGATACAACCAAGCAAGTGATAGCCAGGTACAATGTGCAGGTGAGAGTTTGGCCAGGATCAGCAATGTCTACATGCTCACCAAGACATTTTGAGTCAAGCCTGACCCCACTGTTAATGAGCAGTTAAACCAGAAGGAAACAAAATTCTGCAGGAGACATCCAGGAAAAATGGTTTGGAAGTGACTGTGGGGACCATTCTCTGGATACACAGAGACATCTCAGCATGAAAGTGCAATATTTATCTATTCCAAAAATGCACAAAACAGACCCACTGCTGATTGCAAAGGATTCTTTAATGGCAGCAAAACAAATAGGATTACAGACAGTGGCAGAGGCCACAGTAGCACAAGGGCATTGCAATGCAAATTACAAAGGATGTGATGCTGGTGCTGCACTGGCACTTTCTGTTTGACTCAGCCACAGACACAACATGCAATGCTTCTACATTCCATAGGCCAGGACTCTGCAATGCCAGCTGAGGGTACAACAGGTTTCACACATGTGGCATGCCTCCTCTAGCTTGGACACTCTTTCATAGGATCAAGCCTGATGATTCTTGCATTCGTGGGGTGGGAGAAGCGTGCAAGGCAGGATAGAGAAGTGCAGCTCTGCAGTGCAGCTCAGCAGGGAGCGCTGACATTCGGTGGTCTGTGACACTGGGGGAAAAGGCAGCACAAGCAGAGGCGGAGATCCGGGTGTCAAATTTCTTGCCGGGGCTGCATCTTTTCTCAGCGCTGCCGGACTTGCATTCTAACAGCCACAGCCAGGGCGCAGGGGGCGCAGGAAGGAAAGCTTGTCGTTGAAATCGATTGCCTTGTAGTTTGGAAGGTGCTCGTGCTCTCGGGCAAGGTATTGAAATCCACTTCCATCACTGTGCTCACACAGCAGCCAGACACCTCTCTGGACTTTGTGGGAAGACACGATGTCATTGTCATGTCCCGCAGCCAGGTTGGTTGCTTCTCTTATTATTCTGCTCTTCCCTTGATAATCAATGTGTTCATAGAGAGTGATCTGGGGATTGTGCAGATTTTCAGTGATCACCTGCAGAGAGCTGATCTTGTCATTCATTTCATTACCCACAAAGCTATATTCTCCCTCCTCAAACACCAGAAATCGACCTCTGTAGTCTGTATGCTCATAAGCCACCCAAGGCTGGCCAATTACTTTCACTGAGGAGACAATATCATTCCAATCCAGAGCTGTTAGGTTGGGAGTGTCAGTGGTGAATTCTCTGGACAAACCCTGGAAGTTGGCATGCTCATAAATGATGATTTTGCCCATCTCTGCAGGACTTCTGGGATGCAGATTTCTTGCTATAGGAGCTGGATGGCAGCCTGCACAAAAGGAAGACAGAAAACAAGCAGAGCTTGTAAGAAGACTTTATATTCCAGAAAGAAAATTATGGGAAGTGTGGTGCAGAAAAGGAAAAGTAGAAAGTTTTTAGCAGAATATAAACATAGCAGCATCTGGAAAGGAGTGAGAGCATGACAAAAATTTCAGTTTTGAGGGAAAACATAAAACAAGACATGTGCCCACAACTACTGAGTTCAAATTAGTTGTATGTGTTGGTTTAGGTGTATTCCCAAGATTAAGCTGTAAATACCCTCCTATTCACCCCCCACAACTGTGTATCTCTGGCCCCTCCAGCCTCTCCCTTGGTGAGGTGTGTCTCTCCTGCAGCAGCCATCCATCTCCTCATGCCCTGAGAGATGCCTTCAGTCTCTGCACACACACACAGCAGACCCTCACGCCTGTGCTGCAGCTCTCAGCCCAGCACTAAAGCCTCCTGCCCTTGGCCTGCATTTCACAGCAGCTGCCCAAGAAACCCTTCCAGCTCTCCTGTGCCAAGGGTGCCTCTTACCTTGCTGTCAGCTGCAGGGCTGGGGAGAGCTCAGGGCAATTCCTCCAGGGCAGGGCTGCGGTGTGTGCAGAGCGTCACTCCTGTCTGCATTTATACTTGCACAGAATTGAATTGAGAATCACCCAATTCCAATTAACTAGGAGTGGTTGATATCATGCTCAGGAATCAAAAATCATTCATATTCTATTTTGGTTTTGATGCCCTACAACCAGACATCTCATTGCTCTGGTTCAAGAGTTCCTTGAAGTGTGAGTGACCTCATAACCTTAGAACGTGGCTTCATGTCCGTCCCCATTCCGAAACCGTCTGAACCACAGTAACTGGAACACATTAATTGGAGCAACCCCAGCTCCTCTGGCCACTCCACATCAGATCCTTCAAGAGCCTGTGCTCCAGATCCTTCAACAGCTCATTTCCCTTCTCTGGACTCACTCCAGCCCCTCCATGTCTTTCTTGCAGTGAGGGGCTCAGAACTGGGCAGAGCACTCGAGGTGTGGCCCCACCAGTGCTGAGCACAGGGGCACAATCCCTGCCCTGCTCCTGCTGGCCACAGCATTGCTGATGCAGGCCAGGTGCCACTGGCCTTCCTGGCCACCTGGGCACAGCTGGCTCATGTTCAGCTGCTGGCAACCATGTGTGGGGCTTTTGTGACTGCAGGGCAGGACTCGGCCCTCGGCCTTGCTGAGCTTCATTCCATCGGCCTCAGCCCACTGATCCCTCTGCAGAGCCTTCTTAGCCTCCAGCACACAACACTCACCCAAGGTGGTGTTGCCTACAAACTGACTAAGGGGGGAGATCCAAGGATGGGGCACCCACATCTTCTCTAGAGAACCTCTTCCAGTGCCTCACCACCCCAAGAGTGAAGAATTCCTTTGAAATGTCTAGCCTAAACCTATGCTCTTTCAGCTTGAAATGCTATAGTAAAAAGACTCTCTCTCTCTGCTTTTCTTATAAGCCTCTTTATATTTTGAAATGCTGCAATAAGGTCTCCCAGAAGCCTTGTCTTCTCTAGGCTGAAGTAAGTGTCTCTGCAAGTATCTCTGCCTTTCTTTGTAGGAGGTTCTCCAGCCCTCTGACCATTTCCATGGCCCACCACTAGATCTGCTGTAACAGGTCTGTGTCTCTCTTGTTCAGGAAACCCCAGGGTTGCATGCAGTGCTCCAGCTAGAGTCTCAGCACAGCAGATTAGAAGGGAAGGATCATCTCCCTCATCCTGCAAGCTACACTTTCTGCAGCCCAGGATGCATTTGGCTTTCTAGGTGGCAAGTGTCAGGTCACGTCCAGTCTTTCATCCACCGGCGTTCTCAGTTCCTTCCCCACAGGGCTGCCCTCAGCCCATTCCTCCCTCAGCCTACGCTGCCCCTGGTGATTGCTCTGACATCCAGCTGCAGGGCCTTGCACTCAGCCTTGCTGAAATTTATGGGATTCACATCAGGCCATTTCTCAGGCTTCTCAAGGTCCTTCTTAACAATCCCTTCCTTCCAGCATGGCCACACACCACTCAGCTTGGGCTCATCTGCAAACTCACGGAGGCTGCACCTGACCCCATGTCTGTGACATCAAGGAAGGCATTTGATAGCACTGGTGGCAGGACAGACCCTTGGGGGTCACCATTTGTTCATGGTTTCCATTGATCCTGATAAGGTTTATCATGAGCTCACTGTGTGAATGACAGCACAGGCATTTAGGTGCCAGCAGCACAGCACTTCTGCTCCAAGAGATGGTACTTCCTCAAGGGAGAAGAGACCTAGAAAGATTTCTTCTCTTTTATCAGAGTATTCACCTACTCACTTAGCTTGCTTAGTTAGGGTGATTCAGCAAGGAGATGTGTTACCAATTAAGTAACTCAAACTGCTTCCTGCTTCTCATTTTCTGGATTTGTAGGCACATGAAAGACAGGGAAGTGATTTGTGATTTGCACAGCTTCAGCAAAGGAAAGCCCAGTGCAAATAACCTACTGTCTTTTTACAATGGAGCGACAACTTCAGTGGAAAAGGGAAGGGCTACAGATGTTATCTACCTGGATTTCTGCAAGGCCTCTGACATGGTCCCTAAAACTTCCTTCTTTCTAAATTGGAAGCACAGAGCTTTGATGGGGAGACTGTTCAGTGGACTGGGCTTTGGGGCCAGGTAAATGCAAAACCAAGTTAGCTCCAGGGAAGGGAATTCCTTATAGGAACAGCCAGCTGCACCCATTTCAGTGTGTCACATTTCTTTTCCTGATGACCTCTACAGGTCCCTGAAGGAAAGTGTCTCATTACTGCTTTTGTCAGCAGTGCTCTTTGCATTTTTTGAGATTTGATTTACAGGGATGGAGAATCTCATTTGAGCTTTGCTGTAGGATTGCTCCGATTAACACAGAGTCAATAAGGCACTGCCAGGAAAACACAGCAGCATGGGGGGAGGAATAGTCTGACAAGGAAACCAAGAAAATATTAAAGGAAGCATCAGGAACTGAATTGAAAGTGGGGCAGCTCTGTTATTGGGTAAAGGGAAGATGTGTTTGAAGATGCATTTGGGGAATAAAATGAGTTGCTTCAGCCCTGCTTCCCACAATGGCTTTTCAGTGTTGAATACATTGAAAGATGCTGTAAATTCATGCTGTGGGAATTCCAGTAGCAGATGAAATGAGTAGGGAAGAAAGCCACAGTAAAAACTTGCTAGCTTGCAAACAGCAAGTTTGAGAATTCTGTACTTGGAAAAGAGCTTGAGTTTCCCCAAGTGAATGTTAAATCTTCTAGCCAAAACCCCATAGGTTATGGCATGTGCAGCAGACCATCCTGTCTGCTGGTGTCCTGCACTCCTGTGATGGAGGCTGCCTGGGCAATGGAGCTGCCCTGCAGGTGCAGAGTCACAGTGGCTCCTTCACAAAGCTGACCCAAAGGAGCTGCACCAGAGCCCTGAAACACAGAAACAAACACAGCATCATTAGGAAATAACAGAAGTGGTTAATGTGTAACATCACCTTTTACTGGGCGTACAAGTTATGACCTTAAGCCCACGCTTTATATTCTGTGTTTACCCAAACACACCTGAACCTGTTCTGAGGATGTTTCTGATCAAGCCAAGAAAAGTTGAGTCTGTGTATATATCACCTCTCTGTCACAGCAATAGTGTCTAAGCTTTCTTGTTTAGACATCTATTTTTGGAATACCACAAGCCTTCCTTATGCTGCATTCTCTTCAAATGTCCATGTGCATTGTGGAATAATAATCCCCTATGTGAAGGTTTTTTGCTGACTGTTGATTTTGCAAGCAGTTGTTGTTTTACTCTTTTTAATACCATGTGTAATTTAGCAGGGTTTGGGAATTCCAGGTACAGTTTATTCCTGGATTGGCAGGCAGACGTGACAATGCTTTAGTCTTTACTGTGCAAAAGTATTGCACAGTGTGCTTTTATAAGGGTAAACCTCATGTGAGAAGTACAGTAGGGAATGCCATGGTTGCTGATGTCTCCTCCTGAGAGGCCTCCTAAAATCTGCCATGAGGGTGAGGGGTGAGGATGACCAGAGAACATGATTCCAAGGGTACTGCTAACTGAGCAGCATAGAACTTGCCAGCTGGTCTGCACTGCACTGCACTCCAAGGGCAACTAGACCACCTCCTCACAGCCCCCAAAGTGAAGAAAATCCCCTCTCTGGTGGCCAGGAGAGACAGAGCCAGACAGGAATGTCCACTCATTAAAATCAGAGTAACAGCAGGTTAGGGAGGCAATGTAATATTTTCTTTGCCCAAAAGAAACAGAGGGAAAACTCCGAGAAATCTGGCTCAGAGACCTCCTGGCTGTAAGGAACTTCACAGTTACATATGCCAAGAAAATAAGATAATACCTTCTTTCCTCTCTAAGAAATGGTGGTTTTCCAAAAGGAAATATCTTTAATTGTATTTCCTAGGAAATATAACTAGAGTCATCCAAAATAATCCCTCTCCTATTAACAGTGCCTATGTAACATCATTATTATGCTGAGATTCTGAAAGGGATTTCTCAGACATGACCAAGGAACTTCAATAAGACTTCCAAAACAATTTCTTCCACAAACTCTTTTGGGCAGAAGGTGACATTTGCCAGTTGACTTGCCATTATAAAACAGGTGTTCTAGAGTAGGAAGAATGCCAGATGCTCTTGGAATTGAATTGGGAAATCCCACTTTGGTGAACAGAGCAAGGAAACCTGAAACTGGCTGCAAAGCGGTAAGAAGTGCCCTAAAACACATGGATTCTAGGCCATCCCCATTGCACCTGCCCACCTGAGCCCAGTAGAGGAGCACAAGTGGCTGACATGTCAGCACAGCCTGCAGTGCTTATTTCAAAGTGGGACAAAGCCCAGTAGTTGATAGCACAGCATGTTCAGGGCTTCATGTGCAGATTGTGCAGATTTTCAGCAATCAGCTGCACAGAGCTGATCCTATCCTTCATCTTTCACCAACAATGCTGTGCTCTCCCTCCTCAAGCACCAGAGTAACTGGCCTGTAGAGTTTGGGTGCTCATAAGCCCATGGAAATGGAAATAGCTTTACTCTTTGCGTTCCAGCCACAAGCTTATACTTGTCCCAGTTGCCTGCCTGTGTTGACTGACACAGCAGGGCTTCTGCAAGAACACTGGGCAGAAAAATGAGGCCAAGTGGAGTGTGATGCCCACTCCCCCCCAGTAAACAAGAAGGAAGAGCTGGTGGCAATGGATGTGGAGAAGGCTGAGGTACTCAGTGTGTTCCTTGCCTCGTCTTCACTGGAAGTCAGGTTTCCCACGTCTCTGGAGTCGCTGAAGCTGCTGGTGGCGACTGGGGGAGAGAAGTCCCTCCCACTGTAGGTGAAGAGCAGGTCTGAGACCTCTTGATGAGGCTGAATAGACACAAGTTCATGGGACTGGATGACACGCATCCCAGGGTCCTGAGGGAACTGGCTGGTGCTGTTGTCAATCCATCCTCCATCATATTTGAAAAGTCATGGCCTTTAGGTGAAATCCTTGGTGAATGGAAGAAGGGAAATATCCCTCTCCCCTTTTAAAAAGGGGAGAAAGGAAGATCTGGGGAACTACAGACCTGTGAGCCTTGCCTCTATGCCTGTGAAGATCATGCAGCAGATCCCCATGGAAGAAATTCTAGGGCACATGCAAGACAAGAAGGTGATCCAAAAAAGCCAGCAGGGCTTTACTAAGGGCAGATTATGCCTGACCAATCTGGTGGCCATCTGTGGTGGAGGGATTGCAGCCATCAACAAGGGGAAGCCAACCAATGTCACTCACATACCTCGACTTCCTTAAGAACTCTGGCATGGTCCCACATGGCATCCTTATCTCCAAACTGAGATACACAGGTTTGAAGGGTGGACTATTCGGGAAATATCCACACAGCCAGAGCATTGTGGTCAGTGGCTCTGTGTCCAGAAGCAGAGCTGGTGTCCATCAGGGCTCTGTTTGGGGACCAGTGCTTTTTAAGATCTTTATCAATGACACCCTCAGCAAGTTTGCAGATGACACAAAGCTGAAGGGTGCAGCTGACACAATAAAAGGATGGGACCTCTTCCAGAGGGACCTGGACAAATTTGAGAAGTGATTCCATACTCACCTCATGAAGTTCAACAAGCCCAAGTGCAAGGTGCTGCACCTGGGTCAGGGCAATCCCAGACATGGGAGCACAGACTGGGAGATGGTCATGGGCTGGGAGCACCTCTCCTATGAAGACAGGTTGAGAAATCTGGGGTTGTTCATCCCAGAGAAAAGAAAGCTCCAGGGAGACCTCATTGCAGCCTTCCAGCTCTTGAAGGGGGCTTTATAAGAAAGAGCAGCTTTTTAAGTGGGCAAGTAGTAATAAGATGAGAATGGAATGGTTTTGAATTACAAGAGCAGAGACTTAGATTAGATGTTATGAATAAGTTCTTTACTATCAAGATGATGAGGCACTGAAACAAGCTGTTTAGAGAGGTTGTGGAATTCCTGTTCCTGGAAGTATTCAAGGTCAGGCTGGATGGGACTTTGAGCAACCTGGTGTAGTGGAAGGTGTCATTGCCCATGGCAGGAGGGTTGGAATGATCTTTAAGGCACCTCCCAGCCTCAGAGTTCATAGGATTCTGGGATTTTATGATCAATGCCTTAAGATACACAGGGTAGTTAAATACAGGGTACAGGTGAAAGTTGGCTTAGCAATAATTTAATCACAGCAATAATTAAAATGTTTACCAATCTCTCTAGTCTGGTTGCAATGGTTCTGGACAGTGAAACTGTAAGGAGATAAAGTTCTGCAGGACAGATCCATGAAAAATATTTGTAAGTGACTATATAAAACATTCTCTGGATACACAGAGACATCTCTCCATGAAAGTGAAATGTTCATATACACTAAACACTGCATAAAATAACCCACTGCTGATTGCAAAAGATTCTTTATTGGCACCAACACAAAATGGATTACAGATATTGGCAGAGGCCATTTGTGGGGCAGGAGAGCTCTCCCTTTCGGTGGTCCTGTGACACTGGGGGAAAAGGCAGCGCAAGCAGAGGCAGAGAACAAGGGACTGTTTCTGGGACTGCATCTCTCCTCAGCACTGCCGGATTTGCATTCTAACAGCCACAGCCAGGGCGCAGGGGGCGCAGGAAGGAAAGCTTGTCGTTGAACTTGATTGCCTTGTAGTTTGGAAGGTGCTCATGTTCTCGGGCAATGTATTGAAATCCACTTCCATCACCGTGCTCACACAGCAGCCAGACACCTTTCTGAACTTTGTGTGAAGATGTGGTGTTATCGTCATGTCCCCTGGTCAGATTGGTTGCTTCTCTTATTATTCTGCTCTTCCCTTGATAATCAGCATGCTCATAGAGAGTGATCTGGGGGTTGTGCAGATTTTCAGTGATCACCTGCAGAGAGCTGATCCTGTCATTCATCTTTTTGCCAACAAAGTCATGATCTCCCTCCTCAAGTACCAGTAACTGTCCCTTGTAGTCTGCATGCTGATAAGCCACCCAAGGATGGCCGATTACTTTCACTGAGGAGATACAATCATTCCAATCTGCATCTTTTAGGTTGGCAATGTTGGTGTGGAATTCTTTGGACATACCCTGGAAGTTGGCATGCTCATAAACAATGATTTTTCCCATCTCTGCAGGGCTTCTGGGGTTTGGATTTTCTGCTGTTGGATGGCAGCCTACAGAAAATGAAAACAGAAAACAAGCAATGCTTGTAAGAGGCCTTTACACACCAGACATGAAATGCTGGAAACCAGAGGGGACAAAAGGTAAAAAGGAAATGCAAAACAATTTTAGCAGAAGATAAAAATAGCAGCAGCTGTGAAAGAGTGAGGACATGACACAGAAATTTCAGTTTGGAAGAAAAAAGTAAAATGAGATTTGTACACCACAACAGTCCAGTTTCATTTAATATGTATACATGCAAGGCACACCTGAGCATTTTGTTTAACATCTTATTGGTGTACCCGAAATATAACAAAACAAAATATACAATTCATGATAAATCTTTCTGTTGATAATTGATGCTGCAGTTGAGAAATATTTTAGAAACTGGCACTCATTGTTTAGAGTAGGTTTTCTGGGCCACATAGAAAGCAATATAAAAATAGTGAGACATGCAATTAATTTCTAAAATGTAGTGAATTTTTTACACAAAATCGGAGGAGAAAACCTATCCTTTAAGGGCAGAAATGAACTTTAAATTCACTGAAACACCTTATTTCTCTTTTTATATGGAATTTTACTGAAATCAAGAGATTCATTCTCTGACATACACTGAGAAGCAATCAAGTTGTAAGCATCAGCTCTTTAAATCAGACTAAATTTCAGGTTTTAAATGTCTTTTTCTGACACTACTACCAATACACATATCTAATTCCCCACAGTCCTCTGAGTTCAGTTAAAAAGCCACAGTGTTGATTAGTAACAGCTGCAGGAACAGTAATGAGCAGTCAGTTATGGTAACAGCTCTCTCTCTAAATCCTGTAACAGTTACTGAAGCAAAGATTTACATTTCTGGGCAAATAAATGGGACTAAAAAAGCCATTCCTCTAACTGATTCTGAGAAGGGATGGGAAAAGACAGATATCCCCAGTAAGATTGAAAGCCATAGTAATTTGGTCACATACAGTAGCATGTAAGACATGTGCATCATAATTTAAAAATATGAATCGCTTAAAGCTCACTTTTTTAGAAAAAAACTTCATGTGATTAAAACCATGTATTTGTTCACAGTTATAAAAGCATATATGGAAGCTGAGAGGACATGAGCTCAGACTCACGGACTGATTAGTGCCTAGTGATTAGGCACTACTATAATTACTTTCTACCTGTAGAAAAAGTATGAATAATGACCCATTTAATTTTGCTGATACAGCATAAAGATCCCATGACCAAGATAAATTTGTAGAATATTTTCACTTTCACCTCTGAGAATTGTGTATCTCTGGCCCCTCCAGCCTCTCCCTTGGTGAGGTGTGTCTCTCCTGCAGCAGCCATCCATCTCCTCATGCCCTGAGAGATGCCTTCAGTCTCTGCACACACACACAGCAGACCCTCACGCCTGTGCTGCAGCTCTCAGCCCAGCACTAAAGCCTCCTGCCCTTGGCCTGCATTTCACAGCAGCTGCCCAAGAAACCCTTCCAGCTCTCCTGTGCCAAGGGCGCCTCTTACCTTCCTGTCAGCTGGGGAGAGCTCAGGGCAATTCCTCCAGGGCAGGGCTGCGGTGTGTGCAGAGCACCTCACCTGTCTGCATTTATAGCTGGCTCAGAAGTCTTGTGCAACACCTCAGCCAACAGAACTGAGAAATGGTCAATAAATGAACAAAAATCATTAACTATTTTATTTAAATTTTGATCTTTCTACAACCAGTCGTGTTATTGGTTTGGGTCAAAAGTCTCTTGAAGCATAAGCCCCTGATAAAACCTTAGAACTTTGGTTCTTGTTTATCCTTCTCCTCCAGAAGCAGATTAATCACAGTAATAAAAATGTATCAAAGTACCTTGTGACACACAGGCTGTAGAATTTTTCTGCCTGTTGCAAATTCTTCTTTACCTGTGAAGCAAATATAATAATGTTAATTTTCCAAAGGATTTTGGTGGGACATGTCCACTTAACTGAGGGGGCATTTAAGTAGGTTTTAATTAAATTCTCTTCCTCTTTCTCACCTACATAGCCACTTGAGCAGCTGCAGGGAGGCAGAGCTGCAGTGGCAACATTTTTCTTTCTTTTTTTCTCTTTTCAGGTTCACTCTGTATAATATTTTCAGACAGATTCCTTGGCTAGCATGTCAGAAAGCTGTTCTGCTGCTGGAGAAAGCAATAGGATCTTCATTAGTTCACCTGAGGTACCCCTGCTCTGTCAGGTAGGAGGTAACTGGAGAAGATGGGGAGCTGGGAAGGAAGATAGTTCATCCCTGCAAAACAAGCAGCCTGTACACCAGATCCAGCCAAATCCTCATGCTGTATCTCTTTCACTGGTGTTTGGCTGAGCCAGATCACAAAACTAAGCCAGCATAAAAATACTTGAGACTTTGGGGGTTTTTCCATGTGGTCCATTGTTTTGCTGCTCTGCAGAGGCTGGAAGCAGAGCAATTGAAATTTGTAAATTGATATTTTGGGGTTTTGAAGATGAACAGGCCCTCACTTTATAGCAACAGCTACTTGAGAAGTCCCTTTTCTGAACAGGCAAATCACACCTTTAGGACATGTTTTTGTGTGTTGTAGTGACCTCAGCCTACAGTTCAGTGCTGGAAAGGGGAATACCCCATTCCACTCCTGAACCATTGTGTCCACTGTCTGATAAAGAGAATGGAGGAAGAATGAGCACACCAATGTGAGGAATGCTTGAAAGAGGGACTAAAACAGCCAAGAATAGGATGGATTTACACTGCCATTGAACAACATTCATTCTTCTTAGCTTGCTAATATGTTTTACTCATTAAATTATTATTTTTGTTTCTGAAAAAAATAAACAAATAATGTGTAATGACATAATTAATAATGAATTAAACATTCCCATCTTTCCTAGAACCTACAGACTCAGAAACCACCTTTGACCAAATGTATGAGCCACGAAGGCATCACAAAGCCCGAGTCTGAGTGTATCTCAGCTATGGTACAGAGTAGGTTACATTTCTGAATTTTACATTTCAGCCAACAGTGAACTCCTCAGCCATGCACATACTCCCTGCAGAGCACCAAAGCTGGCAGTGGGGCTTTTCGTGGCTTTGAGGAAAATCAAAAGGCAATGTATGATGTATGATGGAATGCTCTATGATGGAATCCTTTGCCATGTTTTTTGTGCTACTGCAAAAGCGTGGTAAAGGATCCCTGTGCTCCCAGGTTCACAGAAACCAATGAGTTCCTGGTTTTCATTGACCATCTGCCCTAGTGTTATTGGATTGAAAACTAAATGGCTTTTAATGTCGTTAATCTCACCTACGTGGTGCTTTATGCACAAGGAAGTAAGTCACTGAACAATGCAGAGCACCACAGGGTGGGGTTGAGGGCTTGATATTGGAAATATTTATGGAGTTTTCTTTGTGGGTTGGGTCTGTTTGCTTTTATTCCTTATGGATCACAGAATGGTTTGGGTTGAAAGAGACCTTAAAGATCATTCCAACCCCCCTGGAATGGGCAGGGACACCTTCCACTAGACCAGGTGCTCAAAGTCCCATCCAACCTTGCCTTGAACTATTCCAGGAACAGGGAATTGCCAGCTCCTCTGGGAAATCTGTTCCTGTGCCTTACTACCCTCACAGTAAAGAATTTTTCCTAAAATCTAAACTACACCTGCCCTCTTTAACCTTGAAATCATTCCCCCTTGTCTCCCACTGTGTGCCCTTGTTGAAAAGTCCCTCTCCAGCTCTCTTTTAACCCCTTTGGGTACTGGAAGGCCACAACAAGGTCACCCCACAGCCTTCTCCAGGCTGAACAACCACAGGTCTCTCAATCTTTCCTCACAGGAGAGGTGCTCTAGCCCTCTGATCAGCTTCATGTCTCTCCTCTGAACTCATTCCAGCCGGTCCACGGCCAGAAACTTGTGCTGAGCTCCCCAGAGCTGGACACAACACCTCGGGCAGAGCAAATTTATGGGAAACAATGTTTTCTAAAATTCCTCTTATCCCCTTCCTGCAGAAACAGTGGTATCTCAAAATCTGAAAGTGTCAGACAAAAGTGAAAAGCTAAGATAAGGAGGATAAACCCCTCTTCCTCTATTGCCCTCAGCAGATGAAAAGAACAGAAGGAGCAAGATGAACAATGACACACAGATTCTTTGAAAATGTACAGTTATGCAAAAAACACTCCAGCAGGGGAAGAATAAAGACTAAAATATTTTCATCTTTTTCATAAAACTGGTTTTCTGGGGTTTTTTTTCCTTTCTTTCTTTCTTTCTTTCTTTCTTTCTTTCTTTCTTTCTTTCTTTCTTTCTTTCTTTCTTTCTTTCGAGACTATTTACTACTAGATTGCAGGGTAATAAAGCAATTTCACTTAAAGCTGTGGACGTCACATGTGCACCCAGTTCACAGTGCTGGAAAAGGTACAATGGTAGAAAAATCTAATTAACAACAAAGTCGTTCAACCACCAGGTCCTGTTGTGCTCCTATCCTGCTCTATCACTGCAGATATCTCAGTTTGTATCTCAGTACTCATCTGGGTTTACTTCTTTCTTTAAAACAAGAGGATTAAAAAACCAATAAAATCACACATGAGGTATACCCTCCCCAGTTTCTGTCTGCTGTTTTTGTCTGGTAGTTTTGGACTCAAGGCAGCAGAACACTGGTTGCTTTATTTTGGAGGTTTGGTTTTGTGGTTGGAGAAGGTGGTATTTTGGTTTTTCTCATTGAGCAGTTGTTACTGCTAATAATGTAATTCTTCATCACAAAAATAAAGTTTGTTTCCCACTTTTCACTCTCCAACTTCTATTTCTCAAGCAAAACAGCCTCCAAAAATGCAACATAGGAACATGCCACTGGACCACAGAACCCAAAACTGTGAACAGCCTACATGCTAATAAATGCACTCACTACCAAACCCTTCAGGGGAAAAAAAAAAAAGGCCCTTATTTTGCCAAACTCCCCTTTTTTTTTTGCTTTCCTCTGTTTGCTCCAATTCCCATTTGCTGCTCTTCAGTACAGCAAAATAACACCACTTTTTCAGCAAAAAGAGAGATGACAGAATCCTATTGGATGACTGCTGCGTATTCAGTCACAACACCGGGAGTAAGCTCCAAAGAAATTGTGCTGGAAAGAGAGACACAGCAAACACAGACTGACAAAAGCCTTATTTATAAATCCCACATTACAACACACAGATGTCAGAAAACAAAGTGAAGATCTTTTCTAACTATTATTTCCTTTCCCAAGCCTCCTCTTCCCAGATGAAGGAAAAGGCAACAGGTTGTCTGTGAGTAACTGCTATTTCAAAATGTCAGAACCCAGCTGGATTCTGTCAGTTTTTTGGTTTTTTTAATAAATCTACAAATCGTTTTCCATGGAACAGTTGCTAAGCTGGACTCCACAAACACCAAGACCCATGCTCAGCAGTGGGGAGAAGCCAGGGGAAGGCATCACAGACCCTCAAAAGGTCTTAGCTTCCCAGCACCACATTTTGCATCTACAGCTCTCGTTTAGAAAATTCATCCAGCATTTAGTTCCTTTGGAGTTTAATTAGCAAACTGTGCTCCTAAAGCCTTTGGTGTCCCCATCCAAGCACGTGTGACAGACACGGACCTGCCCTCAACCCAACACTAGGTGTCACTTCTGCGTCAGAAATGCGACAGAGCAACGGACACACTTGATTAAAAAAAACAACCCAGAAGACATCAGACTTTTCAGGGGATCTCTGCACCTACAACTCTTGCTAAAGTCGTGGACAGGAAGTTTTAAAATTTCACATTTCTCAAACTACGCATCTAAAAAGCACCAGAAAATATTAGACAATGCTTTGCCAAACTCAACATGGCAGTGACAGGAAAGTTTCTCTTCTCCCCTGTGGGTGCAAAGGAACACTTTCCAAAGTGAGCAAGGGACCACGATGCAGAGAAGCTGCCAGAGTCTGCTCTGGCCACAAGGCCTGTCTGGCGGGGCTGTCTCTGGTGCCACTTTGGTGCTGCAGGTGGAAGAGCTGCTGTGCTGCTGTCAGACCTTCCTTGCCTGCCAAAAGACTTCAGAGCAGCAGGAGCCAACTCAGAGCAGAGAAAGTGGCAGAGTGTGTGTGGTCAGGGCTCTGAGGCAGGCTAGGGCATGAAGGAAGTACTGGCAAGAACACAGTAAAAATAGAAAAGATACAGAAGTGGGGTACAGAGGTAGGGAAAAGGGCTCCCCCTGGGGACATGTTGACTGCAGTAGGACCATTTTATTGTTGTGTCTTACAGAAACTGAAGGAGGAGACCAGAAAGGAAGAGGCAATGGGCTTAAAACACAAAATAAAATGCTTCAGGCATTTAAACATAGTTCTTGTGTGTATCCACAAGACAGCGTGAAGACCAAAGGCACCATGTGGTTTAAAAATCAGTAAGTCACAGGCAGAGAAAAAATTTACCAAAGGCTCTAAGACAAACATACTGATGCAACTTCTGAGTCAGACATTATTTCAAACAGCAGATTCCTAGAGAAAATGAGAGTAGCCACTATCTGCTTGCCTGATGCTCTTTCCATGAAGACTCACATCAGGTCACCACTCCTAGAGCATTTCCCTAGAGAAGGGCTGAACACCTTCCATACCAGAAAGACCTCAGCACACACAGGCACAACAGGTAAGAGCCTGAGACCCAAACCTTGAACTCAGGGGGTTGCAACTTAAGAAAATTCAGAATCATAAGGAGGCTCAGCAGCTCAAGAGAGGAAACTGCAGTGGTGAAGCAGAATAAACAATGACAGCACAGCCACTTCCTTGACAAGGATGGAAGCTAATGAGGAGCACTGTGGCTAGAGGTATAAGGACCTGAAAGCACATTTTCATTTTCTGGCTGGCTGGTAAAGCCATCACCAAGAGATTCTATGACTTCTTTGGGTTCTTAAGTAGCAAATAAATACAACACTGAAGGAAGAAATACAGCAGAAACATATTAAGAAATATGGGTGGAAAAGCATGTACTGAACTACCCTCTTCAACCACTCATGGCTCTGTGAAAGGTTAGTTTGTATCCTGTAAGCCCAAGAATCTGGTAAAGGTCATGCTGGGATCTCTTACAAATTTTCATTGGTGATAGGCCCTGCCACCACTGTGTGCATTGGGAAAAGTGAAAAAACAGGAGAGCATGATCATTTACAAGATCTTCAACTCCCCAGTCTAGCATTAGGGTTAGGCCTGGTGTGAGCAGGGGGTTGGATTAGGGACATGCAAACATCCCTCACTGCCTTTACATGAATGTAGAATGTTTGGTACCTGCTACCCACCCCTGCTGTACAACTGAGCTTGGTAACAGAAAACATGGATGTGGCTGGAAATGCAGACAAGGATCATGATGCACACAGAGCATTAGCACAAACTGGGTTTGGACACCAGAGAGAGAGCTGCAGAGCACAGACAAAAACTGTGCATGGAACCAGAATTCAGATCCAGTGAGCCAGCTGGGTGTTCACTGCATCAACACCCCACTTCCAAAGGCAGCTCTCAACAGGACAGTCACACAGGACCTGGAAAGAGGCAGCTCAATCCTCACTAAGCCCTGGGAGACTAAATAGGGACTGTGCTTAGGTGAAGGTTCAGCCTCAGCAAAAGTAGAGCAGATACACTGTGAGATAATTTAGCAGGGACAGGGGGAAGAAAGTGAGAACAATTTCCAGGGAAAGTGAACAAATGGTAACAGCCAAACTACCAGCAGGGACAGGGGGAAATGTGGGATAGGGAAGGACACCAACACAAAGTCAAGAGGTTAAGCAATATTGCAAAGGAAATTGAGTCAACTAGGAAACCTAGGAGAGGAGAAGCACTATGGAAATCTAAGGATGAGAACAAGGGAAAGCCAAGCAATGGTAATGGGAATATGAACAGAGAGGAATGTGGTGCACCAAAGAGGCAAAGGAAATCAGTGGTGAGAACAACAGCAGAGAACTGGAGAAGGGAGAACAGATAGACAGCAAGTGAGGCACAGCATAGGCATTGTTTTTTCTTTCACCAAGCAAAGAATCTGACAGAGAACTGAGATAAGTAAAAACCAAAAGACATTGCTGACCAGCAGTGTGGGCAAGCAGGACACAGAAGTAGCATTTCCCTTCCTTTCAGACAGCAAAAGCAGCAGGTTGTTTTGCATGCACTACAGCAGTCTCAGAACAGGACATGTAGGTCTCAGTGCCACAGGGCTGGATGGGAGATACAGGGGAAAATAAAGCTCAGAAAATATACAGCAAATACTAATCTCTGCACACACTTTCTGCTCCAGCAGAAAGAGAAAAACAAGCCTGTGAGGTTGAGGTATGAAGAAACAGGTGCCTGATGGAACAGGAAGGGGCAGCACTTCCTGTGTAAGCCCCCAGCCTTGACTACTGGAGCAGTCAAATTCCTTAAATGGGTGATAAAATGTAACACAACTTCCTTCTCTGCAGAGGGCCAGAGGATGGAAAAAAAAGTGCATCACTGACCTCTAAACCTGAAAAAGAAAAAAGAGAGCTTTTGGCACAGAGAGGCTCTTCTGCTGGCTTGCTGAACTGAAGCCTAGGGCTACAGCAAAAAGAGGTCCTTTAAGCTTCATCTGCATGAGAGCTATCAATAAAACAAAACGTGGGTCAAGAGGGGAGAGAGAAACAGAGAGAGAGTCTAATCTATCTTTTGAAAAGTAGTGGGCTTATACCTTTATTATACAAAATACTTTACAATTAAAAAACATTTTCCCCAATAGAATCATATACAGATATTTATAATTAACAAGATTCAGTTACACACAAGATGGGGACATTCGCACAAAGGAAAACATTGACAGATGAGCAAGTGAAAATTAAGACTTCACCCCTTTCCCCACCATTTTTTGGAAGAGGTTACATTTCAGACTTTTATTCCTATCACCTTCTCTCAAGCCTGACCTCTGGGATCTCCCCTTACCCTGACAGGGTAAGGGCCTCCACCCATGTCCCCAGCATCAGTACAATATGCTTGTCTTAAAAGGTTCATGAAGAGACACTGAGAAAGGAACATCTGGCTGTACCATGAGGTTACCAGTGGCCAGAAAAGGGGACTACTGCCCCAGTTTTCCCTAGCAACCCACATATACACACATGCAAGCACATACATGGGGAAGCATGCTCAAACCCCACAACTTTTCACCCTTTTGGGTGAAACAGCAGTCCCATCCCTCCAAAGCAGGCTGAACTCGAGACACGCCCTTGCAGGCAGTCTGCAGAATGGCTCTCACAGCCAAGGTCTCACAGCCAAGCCGGGCAATACTGCAAATGCAGTCTGGCAAGAGGGCAGGATGCTGCTGTCTTCCCCACTTTGATCATCTGTGAAGCAGCAGTGTCAGTCGTCATGGAGGTGATAATGTGAACCATTCAGAAATGCTCAGGCCACAACAGACAGGCTGGGGAAGTTGCACACTTCACCAGGGGGGTACTTAAAAATAAACAGTGGCCAATGATCTGCCCTACCAGGGCAAAGATGTGTGTGAACCCTTGGGAACATTTTCTCCCTAAGAAAGGTCATTGCTGGGCTTGGCAACCGCTGCACTCGCAGGGGAGCCTATCCCAGAGTCACTGCTGGAGGCCAAATGCTTTCAGCAGTGTGGGCAGGTCACGGGCATCAGCTGCCCCATAGAGGTCACTCTGCCCCAGCATGGAGAGGGCCATGCGCAGGGTGCTCCAGATGTTGTCAGACATGGCTCCTTGCTGCCCCCGTGGACCTCGGCTCTTCTGCTGCATGTGCAAAGCCTCCAGGAAGTGCTCCACAGCCTCACTGTCAACAGGAGAACATACACATGCTTAGTGGAAAAAATGGTTCATCTCACACTGCCTTCCCCATTTGCTTCTAAAGTATTTCCCTGCCAAAACAGTTTCCTCCTCTTCCCAGATCCTACCCCACTCCAGAACCAGATGTCCCCCTTTTCCCTCTAGAAGAATGAGGAGTCCAGATGGCCTCTACTCCACCTGTAACTGGATGACACTTGGGTCTCCAGGCAGAGTCCACACATTCCCTCTGCTCTCCTATTGTAGGAATGTGCCCCCTATTGACAGAGTGACCAAATTATTCTTTGCTTAAAAAGGAAAAAAGCCCAGAAGTTTCTCTCCTCAATTTGGTAAAAAGACACCTCACAGGACCTTTGGGACTTCACCTCAGACCTGGGGCTGCCAACTGGACAGAGGCCAAAAGGTCCTGCCTAGGTAATTCACTAGAAAAAGAAGAGAACAAAGGAAATAATCGCTTTTGTGGAGTGTTTTAGCAGGAGCAAGAACCTCTTGCCCCTGGCTTGGGTTTTTCTCTGAAAGAGCTTTGTTATTTTGCCTTTCATTAGAACTTTTTCTGTTTCCAACACTACCTCAGAAGCCATCCTGCTAACTTTATGCCATTCTGGGTAGCAGAGCTATCTCAGGTGTGACTGGTTCTCTGAGAGCTCATAAGAGGAGAAACCTATCACCCTATGCCAAGAGAAGGCTGCAGGCAGTGTGGCCCTGACCTCATTACCTAGGGCAGTCTGTGTCCCACAAACACACACAAACACCCAGGTCACAGCAGAGGTGCCCATCCTGTGCTCACCGGTGGGCCCCCAAGTTGATGCAGCTGATGCCCAGGTTGTAGCGAGAGCGGATATACCCCGGCTGGAGCTCCAGGGCCCGACGATACGCGGCCACTGCTTCTTCACTCCGATTCCCATTGGCCAGGGTGGCACCCAGCTTGTTCCACAAAAGGTGGTCCTGGAGCAATGGGCACAGAAAAAAGGCTTAGATGAACTGGATCTCCTAAAGCTCCAAGCCAACCACTCCTTCCCCATATGTCTGTCATATTCCTCCACTCCAAATATGCACCTCTTGTACATGCAGCACCTCCACCCAAACCTTCACCCATAAACCTCCAAGTGCCTCCAGCAGCCCCAGTCTGCCCCTTTCTTACATTGGGGCGCACACTGAGTGCAGCACTGAAGCAATCCACAGCCTTCTCATACTCGCCACTGAGGTTGAAAAGGACACCCAGGCCACACTGGACATCAGGATCCACAGTGGAGGGGTTGCTGCGCACAGCTGCTAAGAACAGCTCCTTCACCTCCATGAACAGTGAGCTGCAAAAGCACAGAACAGGATATTGGTGTGCTGTGGAGAGAGTCAGCCTCGGGCTGCTTGCTCTGCTCCTGCCTGGACCAGTCTGAGCCCAATCAGTAACCATAACTCACTCAGAGAGCAGGGAACTCAGGACACGCTTGGAAGGCCCCAGGTTTGTCCCCGAGACATTCTCCTCGGGTTCCTTGTTCAGCAGGTGGGCATAGTCCGGTTTATGGCGCAGCCAGTCCCGCAGGGTCTCACACGCCTGCTTCTGCAGGGACTCATTGGTGAAGCTCACTGCTAAAGCCATAAGTGCTGTCAGGTTCCCAGGCTGCAGCTCCAGGCACCTGCAGGGCAAAGAAAGAGAAGGGAATGCAGCACTAAATCAGTGTAGGAGACAGCCAGACACAGGAGGTGAAACAATCAAGACAGAGCACCCCGTGACAGCCATGTGGTCCTTGTGGCACTACACACCCAACAAGAAGCCACACTTAGCAGCTCTGCAGCAACACTCACTGTCTGAGGGCACTGATTGCCAAAAGCTCCTGTTCATTCTCTGCTTGGGTGGTTCCCAGATATTGCCAGGCCTGGGGAAGACATAGATGTACAAAGTTAGACTTCCAGAGGGAATCAGTCAATAAGCCACTAACACAGAGATTAAATCCAGTATATTATCCTGCACAGTTTTAGAGTGAGATCAAATAGACCAAAGTATACACATTAGCCACAGGTGTAAGTTCCTCTCAAAAGATAGACAGATGTCATGGCACATAAGTCCTCAAAGACAGTAAAATTGGCATTGTTATAGTGAACAGAAGTGAATGTCTACCTGGAAATCTATCATAAAGCAACTGTTGGTAGTTTTACACTTTTAGATCACAGAATCTCCACTTTTAACTTCTAACTGTGGTCAAACTGCAGAGGAAGGAGGAAAATGCAGATCTCCTATTTCCCAAGAACAAAATGGCATAGCAGCAGTGCTAATAATAAGGAGACCCCCGAGGCAGGCAGCTGTATGTACTTGTGCAGTGGTCCACTAGCAAGTAGTAACCTTGGAGAGTTGACTTTCAGACCTGAAAGTAGAAGCACTGTTAATTTTACTGAATTTCCAATCATCATGACACCAGTACATGAAAATTACTTCCACCTCCAAGCAGCTGATATAAGGAATATTTTACTAGGCACTAAATCCAAAGTATCTGTTCACTTTAGCCACACCCCTGGTCCAAAACAGGCTAGATAGTTGGGGACTGTCAGCATGATGTCAGCATGATGACCTGCTTTTTGAATCTAAGTCACAAAATGAGGTATCCACTGCCTCAAGGAAGGAAATTGCTTCATTAGCAAAGACACAGAACCCCAACAGAAGGCAATCTACACCCCTGAATCTCTCATGCCTCACCACACATAGCTAGCTACAATTCAAGCAGAGCTGACCAGCAATAACTGCAGTGTTCTGCCAGCAGAAGAGCTGATGAGATTCAAGGTAAAGTTGTGACTTGGACCAAAGCAAACGTGACATCTCCTTCAGAGCAATTGTTCATGTCTATTTGATCACTGCACCATTTGTGAAGTCTTGGCTTCTCCTGTACATTCTGCAGTCACAGTAGAAGAATTCAGAATGTTTTTAATACAGCTAGCCAGAATTGGCCCAAGATTCCTTCCCTGAAGAATTCAGAATGTTTCCAATACAGCTAGTTAGAAATGGCCAAGATTTCTTCCCCTAAGGTTTCAATTACCTCTCCATCATGCTCAGCCTGCAGCCCACACTGTCTATGAGAAAAAAGCAACAGTTCTAGAAGAGCATTAACACCTTTTGACCACTTTAAAGCTAAAGCAAATCTTCAAACCTTCTGCTTACTTTTCACCTATTACCAGTACCCTAGAAAATTAGATGGCCATTCTTAGAAGCCAAGAACCTCTGTTCCAAAATGTCACTCATATTTAAGTCTCAGGGTAATCAAATTATGTATGTCCAGTCATATATAATTAGCAGGGCTCAAACAAGACATGCTGAAAATTTAGCAGCCCTGGATCCTTGAGGCAGGCACTCCAGAAAGGCACCACATGACTGCATTTGCATTCTTCCTGAGAATATCCATGTTCTCTACCCCTGGAAAAAGGCACACAGGCTATTCCATTTCTCAATTCATCCTGCAGAAGCGATTTATGGAAAAAAGTATTCACTTAACAAGGAGCTGGAACTCTGTCTTCAGAGTAAAGATCCTTCTTTGGCCCACAACTTCAATTAAGACTGTTGAAAACACCCAATCTTTTTGGATCACATCTTTTCCTAGCACCTAGATGAAAGACTTAGTCAGAGCCCTGCTCTAATGAGCTTCTCAGAATTAGATTTTAATACAGATACAGAAAGCACTGATTCGCCATAAGCTCCTTCAAACTTACAATGCCAATAAAGACTTTCACAGAAGCAACTTGAGAGATGAGAACTCCTTGCCTTGGCTCCATGCACAGTCTCATGTGCTCCAAAGATTTTACACAGCTCTGGGCCAGACGACTTTGTGCTTCCTGTAACTGACCTTAAGTCAGAAACCTCCTCCCTCAGAGGCTCCCTGAGGATTCACACAAATCAGCTACAAACCCAGGGCCACAGAAAAATGAGGTGTTTTCATATACCCTGCACAGGTCCTAACACTGCAGGAACGGCTGTCCTGACAGCTCAGCCTGTTATCTCTGTGCCACTCACCTCCATATGATCTGGCTTCTGTTGCACTGCAGCCTCAAAGAGCAGGACAGCATTGGGGAGGTCACCTTGCTCCAAGCGCTTCCGCCCCTCTTCAAATGCATCCGGGTGATCCCTCATGGGATTGTCTTCCTCAAACTGGTAACCCTAGCAGGACAGACAGACACACAGAGGCTAAAGCTTCGAGACAGGCTTAGGGAGAAGAGCACTCTCTACAGCACAGCAGTCTAGTCTTGCTGCATCAGGAACACTCCAGACACAGACCAGCCAGCACCTCATCCTCATTGCTAATTTGTAGCAGATCAGAGAACAAGGGTGGTTCTTCCTGCCCGCTCTGCGCTGGAAAAATCCCCCAAACCAAACTTGGAGTAAGTTGATAGAGAAACAAAAGCATTTAGTATGTATTTATAAGATACATAAATTTAGTATGTATCTTATTAGCTTGGAGGGGAATGGGGCCAGATGGGGGGCAGGGATGGGGCCAGGGGACACAACACTTGAACTCATTGCAAAGAATCCCTGTAATCACTGGTATTTGGTGCTGGACAAGAACCAGATGGCATTTGCAGACAAAACCAAGTGAAAACAGTATTTAACCCCTATATGATCTGGGACAAGGATGTAAGTGACAGCAAAGCATCAGTGTGAGAACAAATCCCAGCAGCATTTGGAGTCTGGAGCTCAGAGCGAGGCAGATGCACTGCCAGTCTCCCCAGGGCAGCCCACCACAGTGCTAGGGCTGAGAGACCCTGTTCTCCCCTACCTTGTCGTATGATGAGGAGTTGAGGTCTTCATATTCAGAGAGCCAAGGGTGAGCCTCTGCATCTCTCTTGGCCATCTCCTCACATTCTGCCTGGAGTTTGTCCCAGAACTCCACATCTGACTGAAGTGAGAACAAAGTGTGACTGGAGTACCTCAGCCATAAACTCACATCTATGAACATGCCATAGAACTCCCTCCTGGATGTTTCCAGCCCTCCTCAGAGCATGCAAAGGAGAGAGGTAACCCTACCATGGGCTCTCAGTTGGCACCCCAGCCCTCCTTCTCAGCCAGCTTTACCTCCACAGCAGCCTTTGCCTGCTCAAATTCCGTATCAAGAGTTGACACGTTCCCAGATCGCGCAAATTGATCCACCCAGGCATCGGATGCCCCCTGGGAGTTTGGAAACAGAAACACACCTTTCTTTTTAGAATTTGGCAACCTCAGGGCACATCCCAAAACAGCAGGAGGGTCTGTAATGACCCTTCCTCCCCATCAGTAAGTACTGATGGCCTATGAAGTGGAAATGAATTCATCTGAATCTCCTCTTCCTCACAGATGCTGTGGGAGATGAGAAAACTCAAACTGTCCAGATACGTTCCCATCTTCTGGCTAGACTCTGCTAAGAGCCCAACAGCCCCTCCCTTGTCTCCCTCAGCATGCTGAGAGCTGGACTTGCCATTTTCCTTTGCTCCCAGACTGTGCACTGTGGCAAAATGCTTTCTTCCTTCAGAGCATACAGGCCTGGGGCTCCTACCTGCTGCTGCATAAACTCAGCTGCCCATTGCTCTGCCTGATCTTGGTCTCTGTGGGTCACCTGATTAGCTTCGATCGATACCCTCCCATCTCCGATCTGGCGGACAAACTTTAGGAACTGCGGCAGAGAAACGAAACAAGGGTGGAGCTGGGCAGATGCTGTGCCCACAAGCCCTCAGCCCATGCCCCCCTTCTTCACTAAGAGGGCTTCTCTCTGCAGAGCGAGCACAAAAGGCCCAGAAAGGTGGGAAGGACCAGACTTCACAAGAGTGGAGATGGATAACATCTGAAGTGGATTGTAGGGCTCAACTCCCAGGAATCAGGGAAGAAATGGAAACATGGGACAACAGGAGGCTTTATTCCTTTACTATCTTCAGCCATCTCAATTCCCCACACCCTTTATTCACAGTAATATAATTACTACTAATTATGTAATTACTAATTCACAGTAATAATTAATCTCAGCCCCAGTCAGATTTCTCACCTCAGTATTCTTGAGTTTTGGATCATCCACTTTAGAGAGGAAATCAGTAACAGTTTTCTTAAGATCATCCTCAGGTTGGTATTCCTCATACCTGTGTTCCAAGACAGCAAAGGAGAAAGAGATAGAGCTCAGTGATGCCTGATATGAGACTTTCTCTAACAAGAGTCTACACAATGGGGCAGACAACAGTATTGAAGGATACAACCTCTCCTCAAAGATTCTGGGCTTCTCCAAAGTGATTCACCACCATTATCCATCCGTAAAAGTTCAAAATTACTACTATGTTAGCTGTGCAGTGACTAACACAAACAGCAGCAGAATTAAACAATTACAGAGTCAGCACAGTTCTGCAGAGCAGTCTGGATTCCTTGCCAAGCTTACGTGCCATCAGACATTGCAAGTTTTAGCACTACCAGAAACAAGGTCATATATCCAGGAACAAAGAAAGTAGGTCATGCCCACTGAAGAGGAAAACAGTGCCTTGGAAAAGCATCAGCTCTGCAGAGAATTGAGGGCTTACAGCAATGACACAACTCAATATGTCTTGTCTGGCTTACAGCAGGATAGGCCACTTTGAGGTGGTATCACTACCTTCAGTCTTGGGGAAGTTTTGGAACTGGTGGAAATAACTCAGGAACGTCCATTATTTGCAGAAAGTTATCAGAGAAGCCAAGAGCCAGGTGCAACAAGAGTCCAAATATACAAAATTTTTGTAGGGAAAGATCTTAGAAGCCCAAATTGCTTGTGTGTGTTTTGCTTCTTTAACTGAAAAACTTGATTGTACCCAACAGGTGCCTATAGAGAGATGATCCATCTTTAAACTACCACAAAAAAACACATTAAAATAATATGCAGAAGGCTGAACGTATAAATATGTCAAGGAAAGGCTGGAAGTGGTTTGTCAGATAGGAAGAATTACATGATGAAAGTTTACAACTATTACAGTCTAGTAAAAAGCATCTGTTGCAGGAAAAAAGTTCCTGAACTCACTCCTGAAGTTACTTTAAGGAGCTTTGTATCAGGCATGAGATTAATGTAACCTACATGATCAAGCTATCTTCCTGGAACTAGAGGACAGAAAAGCTACACTCCTAAAAACTTCAGTTTGCAAGCATTGTTTCTGCCTTTCTCTGACACCAAAAGCCTCAGAACACCAGTGTAAGTTAAATGACTCAAAAACATTCAGGCCACAGCAGATATCTATCACCTTTCCAAGCTTCACCCATCCAAGTGCCAGCAGCAACAGCTCACCTTGAGAAGTCAGACTCACCATTTATCTGCCAAAGACTGATCTTCTGACTCCCCAAGCCACAGTTTCTCCTCTGACTGCTCTAGGTATTCTTCTGCCCACTTGGCAGGAGACACAGACAGTGGATCTGCAAAGAAAGAATGGGGAGAAAATTAAGACAGGCAGACCAGCACACCTTTGTTTATGCTTGCCTCTTCTACCTTTGTTTATGCTGATCTAAAAATCAAGCCTTTGGTTCAGATAGTGAATTAATACAGATGCGACTGTGGTGATGATAAATGTACGATTTTCTACTTTAATATCACAACTTATTCATCTGCTCCCTGTGGGATACTATGTAGGTCAAGAAAATTAGCAATGCATTACAAGTCTCTGTCAAAAGCAAAGCCTACAAGCACTAGGTTTTCATCAGAACTTTCTCGAAGACCTTTTTAACTGTAATTTATATTTTCAGAAATGTAAAGAGTGAAGCTCAAAGAGTGGAACTACCCAGCTTTCTACAGTGGCCACTCCTGGAGAATAGCATATACTTGTTTCTTTTCCATAATTTCCAGATTAGGGCACATGTGGTAACAGGACCCTATTCCAGAGCCAGTTCTATACTCAACACAGGATGGCTTTTCAAATAAAGCTTAACCTTTGGGCCAGAAACACTCACTTTGCACATTTCCAAACTGTAACATCCCTCTACCTTCACACAACTGACACAAAATATTTCACCAAAGCACACTAAAGAGAATTTACCTTTGTACCAAAGGCAAATTTAGCCTTAGGAGAGGGAATTAGAAAACGTGTAATTAAGAAGCAGTACAAGGCCATCTCCAACTTGCATCAGTTGAATCATAACTTTTAAAAAAGCAGTTTAAAGAGCACGCTTCTCCAAAATTCCCTACGTAACCTAAATTAACAGCAAAAGACCCTTGCACCTAACTAAAAGCTTCCACACCACATTGTTCATAATTTAACTTAACCATAACACCATCATGAAGCAGCTTTCCTACCCTCCACCCCATTAAGGCTGCTACAGGAAACACTGACTGCTGGGCCCAAAGCAACACTCCAATTTGACAGTCAGGAGCTCTTCACTACACACAGGCATGTGACTGGACATCATCTTGACAGTAATTCCAAAAAAAGACACTTCACCTGTCACTTCAGCAATGAACTCCTGTGACCAGTCAGCCTCATTGTAATCTGAAGAGACATCACCAGCATTATCTGCTGCAGCCAAGAATTCCTGGGTCCAGTTTTCAGACAGTGCCAAGGCTGCCACACCTGGAGCTACATGAGGGGAAAAAAACCAAAGTGAGGACTGGAGTACTCAAAGACATAATTTATGTGTTCTAGGCTAGCCCTAATCACCTCTGATCTTTCTCTTTGTTAGAATAAAATCACAGAAATATTTCACTTGGAAGGAGTCTCTGGAGGTTGTTAAGAATTCTCACAGCAGATTAACATGAAAGTTAGATGAGGTTGTTCAGGACATTTATGAGGTAACTTCTGAATTTGTCCATGGCTGCCAATTCCCCAGCCTCCCTAGATACCTGTTCCAGTACTGAACTGCCTCCTCCAAGGGAAGAAATGTTTCCACATACATAGTCAGTTCCCCTTTCCACAAACTGTGTCCATTACCCCTTGTCCTTCTCCTGACTATTGCTGTGAAGATCCTGACCATGGCTGCTGAAGATAGCAACAAAACACTCCACCCCCTGCCCCCCAGACTCCTCTTCCCCAGGTTAAAATGTCCAGGCCCCTCAGCCTTTCCTCTTACAACATGGATTCCTGTCCCTTGAGTACTTTATCGATCCCCGGTGAACTTGTTCCAGCAGATCAGCATACTGGAAAGCCCAAATCCAGAAACAGTACTCCAGATACAATCTCAGAAAAGATCAATAGATAGGAACCGCCCTGCTAGGAGCTTGGCCATAAACATCAAGATCTTTTCCAGCTCTCCACCTACTTCAGCTCCCCTCACCTCGCTGAGGGGCCTGTCGGAAGCTTGACTGTTCAATCTCTTGCATCTCAGCCAAGAGGTCATCCATCTTAAAGGTCTGGGGTGCACGGGACAGCAAAGGGGCATTCTGAGCTTGCAGAAACTCTCCAACCAGCTGCCAAAGACAGAGATGGATTGCAAACATTGCACAGAAGATGAACAGGCAGAGCCAGGGAGTGTGAGAAAAGGGCTTGTCAGAAAAAAATATTAGCATCAGGTAAGGGGTAAAACAACAAACAGTGTGGATGAGAAAAGTTTTAAGAAGATTAATCAAAAGCTACAAGGAGACCAATAAATCTGTTCTTACCTCATCCTCAGTGGCTACTCCCAGTGGTTTGGATACCTGCAGGGAATAGTGGGCAACTGTGTCAACATTGATCCCGTGCCCCTCTCTACACACAGACAGTGTGACCCAATTAGATTGTATCTTCCTCTTCCTTGAGCTTAGCCTGTCAACATTTTTCTTGCACTAGCTGCCAGCCAAGGGAGCAGGAACATTTTGAGGGATCCTGTCCAACCCCCTCCCACTACTGTCTGGCTTAGGGCCTGTGACAGCAAGGCACACAGCTCATCACAGCCGCCAACATCCATTGAGTGCCCACAAACGTGCCCTCACCCCACAACCCTGCTTCGGGTGACCCTTGGGGCCTTTTCCCCAATAAACCACCACAGGACACCAGCTGCACCGAGAGCCCCTGGCCCTGCTCCCCGGCAGCCCCCGGCAGGACCCAGAGCCAGCCCAGCGAGCAGCGCGATACTCACGGCCGCGGCTTCGGGCGTCCCGGGGGGCCAGGCCAGCGGGCCCTGCAGTCCTTCCTGCCTCAGGGCCTTGTCCTGGGTGAAGTGCCCCGCCAGCTTCATCAGGGGGTTGGAGCCCCCGCACTCCGGCTCCACCAGCTCCCTCATGGCCATGGCGGCGGGCACGGAGGGAGAGAGGCTCGGCGCCGATCCCGCCGCGCCTGCACCTGGCACCGGGGCGCACAGACAGCGGGTGAGCGCCGGGCGGAGCGACTGCCTGACCCCGACCCGGCTGCCACCCGCCAGCGCCGCCTCCCCCGCGGGCCCGGCCCGGCAGAGCACGGACACCCGCCCGCCCGCCCGCCGGCCGGGACAGCAAGGCCGCGGCCCCCGGCCCGAGCCCCGAGCCCCGCGCCCCCGGCCGTGCCCGTCGCCCGTCCCCCAGCGCGCTCCGCCCGGCGCCGCCCGGAGGGGCCGCGGGGCTCCCCCGGCCGCTCCGTACCTGGGGCCGCCGGGGCGCGCTGGGCTGGCGCGGCGGGGCGGGGCCAGCCTTAAAGGGACAGGCGCCGGAGCGCCTTAAAGGGACTCGGCGCCAGGGTCACCCGGGTCACCGCCCGCTCCGGAACCCCTCCGCCCGGTGGCTCCCCCCGCAGCTCCGGAGCCGGCTCCCGAGGGGTGTGCCCGTCTGCCGGCCGTGAAACGGTGGGTACATGTATATGGTGTGTTCTATACACAACCCATTGTATTTGCAAATATATATAAATATATATAAGCATAAATATATATTTTTTTTTTCAATGTGTATGGTATGTGTGAAAAAATGCGTATTGTATGATTGGCTTTTCGCAAATATTAAAATGAATATTATATGTGTTATGTTAGAAAGTTATGCTGTATTAATTTTCCTAAGTAGCGTGTTAAATATAGTTTTGGGCTATAACAAAATGTTAAAATAGAAACTATGCTATGCAAGATACTTTTTTTAAAGAAAGGACTCGCAGCGAGATAGCAGTCACAGGACACCTAAATTTTTCAGAGAAAAAGAATTTATTGCTCTCTTACCAGAAGAAACTAAGCTTCTTCCCGCCTTGCTCAGGCTTAACGACGCCGTTAGGATTAAGAGGAAGACGTTGAGGATGACCAGACAGAATCTTGTGTCTGAATAGAATTTATGCATCATGTATGAGATGTATGAATATGCAACAGGTTATTGTTTTTAAGGGTTAATCCTCTGTTAACGGGTGTCCTTTTTCAGGCTTATGCTGCCCAGAAGAAGGTACCTGGATGTCTGTAACTCTTTGTTTTTGTTGTCTCATATTGTCCTAATCCAAATTGTCCAAAATTTTTATTACTCTAACTATATTGCTATTTTTATAACCATTTTATTACTATTAAAATTTTAAATTTTTAAAAATAAGTGATTGGTATTTTTCACAGTATGTATGTATGTTTATGTACGTACAAGAGATATATGCATGTATGCACCATATACATCTCATTTTATTTGTGAATATGCATAAATATATATATTCATATATATATTCAATGAAATGTATTTGGTACATATTCATAAATGAGCATATACTGTATCAGTACACATTTGTCCAGCTGATGGACAGATATTTTACTGTTTGCTCTGGGATCGCTAAAATGTTGCAGCTGGCAGCCACAGGTTGAGAGTGCACACATTGAGCTGAAAAGTATGTGATACCTTCAGATAAGCCATAGAAATGCCAACTCCTTCCCAGCCTTGATCCTCCTACATTCATGGTTTCAAAGGACAAGCCACCTGGAAAATCAAAGGTCATTTGTGTGTAGCCTCTAAAAGAATGGGAAAAGCACCAAGAGGGGGTTGCACAATGTGTGCTGACTCTCGTGACATTAGGTTGCTAGAAATAAATTGTTTTCAGAATCAAATCCCATCTTCTTCTTTTCAAAGGAATATGCTCCTCTGCAGGGTCCTCTCCAGATTTGTCAGGGTCACTTCATCTGTCCAAAATGTGACATCTGGTGCAGTTTTAGACACAATTCTTTGACAGTTGGTCTTCCTGCCTGCTCTCCTTACAGCTTTGAAATTCACGTGGCATCTACAGCCAGTTCTGTGCTAGCAGAACTGTATGGCTCAAAAGGAGCATACTTCTTAAAGTTATAAGAATTGGGGCTGGAAATACAACATCCACACCAAACATGCTTGGGGAGCTTCACTCTGGACTGTGTCTTCCCTGGCCCCATGGAGGCACAGCAGTTAGTGGTTGATGTGCCCTATGTGCAGCTTAGCAGCCCCAAAAAGGAATCTCGTTTGCACACCGAGGCTGTCCTGCAAGACAAACCCCAGCCCAGCAAACAGGGATTACTGTAAGACTCATTTTGAAAGCACACTTCTGGCATCCTGGAAGGTTAAAGTAAGACTCACCTGCTATTACCAAATACCAAATCCTATGTGTGCTCAGTGTGATCAAGGATTAGCAAGAGCACTTGAAGAGAGAGGCATGAAGAATGCTGTGGGGCAGAATCCCAAATGACTTTCAAGAAGAAGAGAGGGGCAACGCTGCTCCTAAGGAAAACCAATAGACAGCACAAAGACATGGAGAAGGGGAGTGTAGGAACTGAGATAAAGCATGGACAGAAATCCAAAAACCATCACAGACTTGGCAGGGAGGAAGACATGAAGTAGTTTTGATTTGTAAATATTTGCAACAAGGTTTTGGGGTATGCCCATGACACCAGCCTATGATACCAGCTTGGCCTTCTGGCTCAGGACAGGGACAGGGAAACACTGCTCTGTAAAAAATAGCCCCCACAGCCTTCCTTCTGAAGGGCTGGATGGCCCTTTATCCCTTAGACTCCCAAAAGACTTTGATGCAACTGGAAGGACAGGAAGTGGCAGTGGTGGCAGAGCATCCAGGACAACCACAGCTCTGACTGTTAATGGATAAGTATCCTGCTGAAGCCACAACTATTTCTGCTTGCAGGCAGAAAGCAAAGGGCCTGATCTGAAGTCAACAGGAAAAGAAGCACAGTCAATGCACCCCTGCAAGTGAAGTGAAAATAATTTAGCAGCAAGAACTAAAATATCAGGGGGTCCCAAAAACTCTTGGAGAGATGAGAAAGACAAATAGTACAGTTTCTGAAAAGGCTATTCCAAGCTCTGCATCCTTCAGCTGTTCTTAATACCAATACTCTGCTGAAGGTCCTGGGCCTGATGGAAACCAGTGACAAAATGGAGGTCTCTGTCTAACTATTCCCCATCCTAACTTTGTGAAATTCATTATTTCTTTCCAAGTGCAAAACTTACCACATGCTTTTATTAAATGGTGTTCTACACTTTCAGGCTATTTCTCCCATTGATGAAGATCATTTGTATACGATTTTTTTCTACCAAATCCTTTGCAACCCCTCTCAGGTTAATGTTGTCTGCAGATTTTAATAGACACAATTTTCTGGTCCACTGTATAAATTACTGGGAAAAAAAACATACTAATAGCACACTGAAAACAGATCTCTGCAGGACTCCTTGATATGTCTTTCCAGACAGACAGCATAGCACCAAAAACTAATCTTAGAATTTTCCAATCAGCATCAGATGCTCCCAACAGTGATTTCAGTAGATCGAGTTTCCCATGTTTCCTAATGACTGTCAGATGAAACAGAGTAAAAATCCTACTGAAATAAAAAATTTAATCTCTATTGTTACTTCCTTGACCACAAGGACAAGTCTGCCATGAAAGATTGGTTTAACTTGATCTCTTCTATTTGCAAATGGAAAATGTGAGTTGTCTACATAATATTTATTTGTTCCAGTGTCACAGGGAAAGGCAGTAAAATTATGCTGGCTGACTAGTAATTAGTCAGATTTTCTTTTTTCAACGCCCAATATATTTGGCCTTTTCCAGTCTTCTGAACCTCTCCACTGCCTAGATATCTCAAAGATATCTAGGGCCGTTCTCCTGTTCTCATCACAGCATGAAGTTCATCAGCCCTAATCAGTCTGAAAACCTTAACTTTGCCTAAGTGCTTAAAAATCTAGAATGACTTTTTCCTCACTTGCAACTGGAGCTATTTAAGATATTCACCTAGCGACCACCACAGTGAAGACAAGTAAAAAATGCTTGGAGCTTCTAGGTATCTTTGGTCAGCTTCCAATTTCACTGACCAGAAAGCCAGTCTTTTTACTGGTCTTCCCCTCATTGCCCAGGTAGTGACAGGCACTATTGATGAGCTGATAGTTCTGTTCTTTTCCACCACACATAAGGTATTCATTTCCTTTTCAAAGTATCTTTGTACTTAATTCGACTCAGTTGCCATGTCTCCCTTAATTCCTTCTCCTCCAGACTAAAAGCTGCAATTTTTTTCAATCCTTCAGCTTGAGTGGCCAAGGTAGTTATTCCCCTCTGTGGATTCACTTCCTACATTTGTCTCTGTTGTAGCAGCACTGTACCCAAACTGGACACTCAGCCAGTCCTGTGTCATTCAGTGCTGTGAGTGAAGTCACAGCAGTACAGAGCTGTTCTGACAGCTCGTTTCATCTGACCCACAGGCTGTCCTCCTAAACACATAAACTGATCTGATGTGTGCCTTTTTGGCAGCAGCATCATGTTGATGTACATTCTGCTTTTTTTAAGGAAGATGATATTCAAAGAACTCTGATGCGCTCTGAAACTGTGCATTTGAAAAAGCAACAGAGCATCTTTTGCCCCTGAATATTCCCTGTCTTTCTCACACTGATCCTCCGAACTTCAAAGTCATGGGTCTAATTTATGTTTTTTGTGTTGAGCATTGGCCCATTCTTATATAAACCCAAACATCTGAAGAAGCATCTTTCTGTATTTATATCACATTCTGTACTGCTGTGACTCCACTCACGGCACTGAGTGACACAGGACTGGCTGAGTGTCCAGTTTGGGTACAATGCTGCTACAACAGAGACAAATGTAGGAAGTGAATCTGCAGAGAGGAATAACTCATGGGTTCCATGAATGAGGACGAGCATCAGGAACCACTTGGCTCTGCTCTTGGACCCATCGCTTTCCCGTGGTGGAAAAAATCAGTTTGCCTTGGCTCCCCTACGTGCAAAACAAAGACAAGTTTGTTTAAGTTTGGGGGTCGGTTTGGAGGTTGGGGATGGTTGTTCGTTTGTTTTTAATGGAAGAGCCTTGAGTGGCCGGGCCAGAGGAGCTGTGTGAATGATCACCCGTACCTCCGCAC